ACCAAATTTTACAAATTTTATATAATTTTTTAAAGAAGACATATGTTTATTTTTTTAACAAAGAATAAAATCTTAAGTATTTTACAAAGAAATAAAAAAGTCCACATGCAAGAAGATATATACCTTAAGTACTAAAAATGGTGGAGAATATACTTAATGAGAATTCAACTTATACTATGCAAAACATGGAATTTGAAGAAAATTATGTCAATTATATACTCTATATTATAATAAAGTGGCAAAACAAAAGAATCATATTTTTTTAAATATTATCTTTTGTTTTTTTAGAAAAAATAATATATTTGGTAATCTTTGAACTAAAATAGTAAACATTACATGCTACATAGTTAAGTTTTTTATATCAAAGTTATTTCCTAACAAGACGCTTAAAGAACTTTTTTCAAAAAAAAATCTTAATATATCTAAGTTCTTTGTTTTTAGCACAATAGTATATGTCCATCAATCAACTCTACAAAGAAGAAAATTAGAGCCTAAAAATTTATTGTATATTCATTTTAGTTATAATAATTATGTCAAAAGATATAGATGTTACAATTTTTACTTGAAAATAAGTAGTGACTTCTAAAAGTGTGTTATTTAAAAAGACTCTATTAACTACACAAAAAAAATTAGAAGATGAATTTATAGGAATATCTAAAACAGTTATATCCATTCTTATATTCAATAGCAACAATAATTTGAACATGCAAAAAAATCACTACCATTTCTTTCATTGATTCTTTTTTAAATATCACCATCAACCACCATTGACAACATGTTTCTAATAAGTTCTAATAACAAGCAGCAGGCTTCTTCTTCTTAACTAATATTGCCAATATTTCTACTTTGGTAATCTATACAACAACATAATCTTCTTTAATTATATATATTAAAAAAAATTCTTAAATATTTTATTGACCTTATTGAAGAAAGATGCAAACCTATTAGCTTTTAAGAAGCTCATTTTGATAATCGTTGAATCAAAACTATGGTCTTATAACTATGCTCCATTTAAAAAAATAATCAGGATATTGATACCTTTACTATCTAATAGACAACCCATCATTTTTTATTGGATTTTCAAATATAAACTTAGCTCTAAGAATCACTTTACAACTTAACTCATCTTTAAAGATAAAACTATAATAAGAAGTAATATACAAATTCACAAAGTTGATATTTTAGAAACTTTTGTTTTTACTATTTATTGAAAATCTATTTGATTTTATTACATCAATTGTGGTTCATCAAAGCTAGCCCATTTATTACTTTGATGTTATCATTATTTTTTTGAACAACAAGCTTATTAATACTATTTAGATGCTGTAATTACTAGGATATGTTGTTTCCAAAAAATAAAATTTAGTTTTTTATCTTCCTCAATCTCTTTATAGTCTTTGCTAAAGATCCTATATCCACATCAATACACATCTTTTCTACCATAGAATAATTAGGATTTATGTTAATTTCAAGATTTACTTTTATTATAATAAATCTCTCATTATCATATTAATTTACATATTGACAATCTAATTTTTATTAAATCCTATATTATTATTATTATTATTATTATATTTTTTTAATACAAATCTACATAAGAAATTTGATATGAAAGATCTTAGCTTAATGTGTAAATTTCTTGGTGTCCAAATGCCACAACTTCCTTGTAATATATTTCTATACCAAAGTAATTATGCTATTTCTATTTTTCAAAAATACAATCACTTTACTTACTATCTAAAAAATATCTAGTTTCTATTTAATATCAAATTTTTAAAAAAATTAAAACTCCTTTCATAGATACAATGAAATATTAAGAAGTTATCAAACAACTTCTTTACCTTATAAAAACAAGACCAAATATTGGCTTTATAAAATCTTTTACAACTCAATACGTGCAATTTACAAAAATTCCATTGCAATGTTGCATAACAAATTATCAACTACTTTAACAAAAATCCATCCCTTATTCTTTGATTCTAATGGAGGGAAAAAAATCAACTTCAAAGATTTTTAGATGTAGTCTTGAAAGTGATTTAGATGACCAAAATTTCTACTAGTGATTATTTATTTATATGTAATTTCTCACCTATATCTTAGTGTTTCAAAATTATAGAACTCAACATCATAATCTTTTTACAAATTAAAATATCAAGCTTTAGGAAGGTATACATGTGAAGTATTTTACTTAAAACAATTAGAAGACAAGCTAGGATTTGGGAAAAAGAAGCCAATAACAATTTGATACAATAATTAAAGTAATATGAAAATATCAAAGAATTCAATCTTATATAAAAAAAAATAAAATACTTAAAATAAAATAATATTTGATACAATAAAAAACTAAAGATAATATAATAAAAAAATAACTTATTAAAACTAGAAATAAATTAATAAATATTTTAACAAAGGCTTCAAGAAAAACTAAATTTGAAAACTACAGATCAAAACTTAGACTCAAGTCTCTTGAAGAAATTAATTTTATCTAAAATAATCTATGGCTACTCTTTACTTCTTTAAGAGTTCAAAAAATATTATATTATGCTTTTTTGTACCCAAAAACGTTTTTCTTATAATCTTCTCAACTAATGAAGATTTGCAATTGAAAGCTTCATAGAACAACATAGAATTTTTGAAGTGATTGTTTTTGTAACTATTCAAAGATTCTTGCCTTACTGCCAAAGTTGTAGTAGAAGTCTCCTTTTTTATTGACACCTCTTCATCAGCATCAATAATATTATTAATACAAAATATACAAAGCTTTGCAATAAGACAAAAGTCAAAGCATATAACAAAAAAATGAAATAATTTCTTAAGAGACACAAAGACAACAAGACATGAAACTAATGATAAGACAAGGACTTACATACAAATTCAAAAAATCACATTTTTAGTTATATGATATATTTAAACATTAAAATATATTAATAATAAAAACTCCTATAATTTTTTTTTTGATAACTAAAGAGCAACAATAAATGAATGTAGAGGAATGAATATAAGAGGAAGTATTGGAAAATGACAAATGTTTGAAGATGATAAGTACCTTTGATTAGAAGATAATAAAAGTTAGAAGATAATAAATGTACTTGGCTGAAAGATATCAAAGGATTGAAAGACCATAAGTACACTCATTTATCTACAAAATTACACAATTGATCTCCTAGCTTATGATGACTATATTATTATATTACTCTATATGTAAAATTTATCCATTCCACTTTTTGTTGATCACTTGTATTGTATTTTACATTGTATGTCTCTAAATCAATAGTACCTTTCTATAAATACTATTACATCTACAATACCATGGACATGCTTATTCTTGTGTAAAAAAGATTGCATAAGGACCTTACAAACAATATACAATTCATATGTAGATACTTTATTTTTTTCACCCTTGATCTTCAATCCTTTGACACCAATCAATGACTCCACCTCTTATATTATATGCATCAAAGCATTTTCTAATTTTTGATGTTATTTAATGAGCACACAACCAAAGGTAGATGAGCTAGCAACTACAACAACTTCCTTAATCTCAAAAGATATAAAGTTAGCTTTATCATTACATGTGCCTTGTATGAGTCTATCATGCAAAAGATGGATCTAATCAATTCCATTGTCATCTAAATTAAACTTACAACTTTTTGAACATAAGGTCACAATTAGCAAGAATATATCACATATTCAAAGAATTCAATATATGTCTTTGTAGACCACATGAATATGCTTATTTTTAAGATTCACAACTATAAGGTACATATCACCTAAATCTTGTGATTTGTTGATATTACTATTATAATCTTGGAATTAGATTGTTGTATACTCATTAAAATTAACAGGCTTATTTTTGTTACATTGGATATGTACACCTATTGCATTGTCAATACAAATGTAATAATATAAGTAAAAAAAAAATACAATTATTTTTTATAACTTGCATGATGCTTACTTGGTTGTAAAAAACACCAATACCAACACCAATACTTATTATACCACTACTATTAGTTCTAGAATACTCTACATTACTCTACTAGTGTCCTTTCTATTTGCAAGCTCTACAATTACTTTTGGACTTATCAATCTTTAGTTTTTGCTTTTACTATAGATGTTGTTTCTTTAAAGGTTAATTTTTTCTTCAATACACTGCTAAGATAAAAATCAAAGAGCTATATTTATACTTCTTTTAAATCCTCTTCTAAAGAAATATGGATTAGACAACTTCCTTCATGATTTCATATCGTTTTATTAATGTAATTGATTAAACAAGAGGATTCTATGACTTTGGTAATATAATAAGCATAAAAAAAATCCATACTTTATTTGCTTGTTTAATGTGTTTTTTTTTTTTTTTTTTTTTTCTTCTTCTATTTCTTTCTTAAAAGATAAAATATACTATATTCTCTATTAATTAATCCTCAATAATTAATCAAAATTTCAGAAAATTGACTTTATTCTATAGTGCATAATGAACAATATCTAATTTCTAAGAATTAATTGCTTTTCATTTAATTTTATTAGTTAAGAGTAATATGTATTTTTCATAGTTTTTATCCTAAGTTTTATGAATTTTTTATTTACTTTTATCAATTAAAATTAATTTAACAAAATTATAAAAATTAATGATTTTTAAGTATTTCATATTTTTAACAATTTTTTCTAAATCAATTTGTGAGTACATGGAACATTGCTTGAGGCAAGGATTAAAGATTTGTATGCCAATTGTGAAGCTCAGATATTGATATTTTGCATGGGGATGACAAATAACACGACTCTTTCATCACTGTTTGATCAAGCATTTCAGACACATGAAGGCTTACAAATGATCTGAATCTGTAATATTCTCCTTTGCAAACTGCCCGTCACAGTTTAATTCGAAAGGGCCAATTAGTATCCTTATATTTTCTGAGCCTAATTGCAACCATTCACCAGCTTGCCCAGTCGAATCTAACTCCAAAATAGGATCCAAATAATAACCACAAGACGTAAATCAAGTCTCATCTTCAATTGGGAACATATTTATAATCCTTATTTACATCATACAATAAAAATATCAACATCCTTAATATCTGTGCATCAGCTACCTCCTCAACAACTTCACTCGGGCTAACCTAGATCAACCGTACTTGTGCAACGAAACCATGTCTTTAAGCAAGCAACTGGCGTTCAAGAGTTCAATCTAAACAACGTAACTTCGTACTGTTTTACTGGAACTAACAAATGTTGCATAAACACTCTCGTCCAAACTGAGTACTGTGATTAATCCATCTATATGTGATAGTGTAATCCATTTACGTTCACTGACAACCAGTAAGAGAGTCAACCGCTACCCATTCACACTGGTGTGATCGTCCCCACCTGTAATTCCGGCAATCCTAAAATACCAACGTGCAAATATCATCAAGTCACCTGATGCTGTGCCACACCATGGCTTTGATGGGACAAATACGTGACTCAGCATCTTACCTGAATGAAATGATTCTTGCTGCTCATATTGCAGTGGTGCACTAAAACTACATGACATCTGCGTTCGATCAAGCTTTCATATCAAGCACTGACTAGTTAGCTTAATCTCTTTGATTTGATGATCTCGTCCTCCCTCACCTCCTTCGAAATCTGCCGCTAGCATTAAGCCTTCATTGTCTTGGGTACTTCAATAGTTCACATGCGCGGCACGGCCGACATGCCTCGAATCACCTGCATGAACATCCAGCTTTAAGGACTTCATCTACTTTCAACAGAATTGAGTATATATATTGGCCAGAATTGGTACAGGAAGCAATGCATATTGCAAAAACATGTGAAAATAATCTGGAATAATCTAAAATAATCCGAAAATTGAGCAGATCAATAATCTTGTATTAAAGCATTATCCAATACGGTTAAGTGAATTATGTCTCACAAAAGTGCCCCCTTCACAGTTTCTCCAGAGAACGAGTACGTCTCCCGTCGTCAAATGATGAGCTCTCACAAAATCTCCTGCACCAATGTCACATTGCAGAGGATCATCACAAAATTAAGATGAAGCCTTTTTATTCGTCTCAGATGGGTTTTAGCATGGCCTCACCTGTATTCTCCAACAAGTACATGCGACTCCTGCTGTTGGGCCAGAAACTGCCACAGCCAAAACCTCATTACCATTACAAGAGCAGCAGTTATAACGCATTCAACTCATTTTTAAATACTAAAAAGTACAAGATAGAATAATTCTGTTTAACCAGTTTAATTTGCTGGTATTACCGGTAGCGGAAGGTCCACCGTTCTCTCGTGTCAAAGTCTTCCATTGTAATAAAAATCCCCTCCTTCACGGCGAGATTTGGCAAATGAGTTTCGGCTTCTCTCTGCACGTGCATTGCTCACAGCCGTGTCAAAGAAATTCATGTTCTTGCCTTTGACCCCATATCAATACGCACTAGGCAAGAAAGAGAATCATGATTAATTAACTCTAAATTAGCTTGCCTACCTTAGAGATGACTATGCGGCCAAGATTATTAACATCGCTTGGTTGCAAAAATTTATGAAGAAGGAATCGCAGCGAATCCATATTTCGTCCCTGTGACATAGTCGAGCATGTTGCATCAGTCTACCAGGCTTAATCACTTGAGCGGATCAAGTGACAGCCGATAATGAGATTAGAAAGAGATCTTCATGAAATTATCAGACTGGTAATCCTAAACCTAACTGACACTTCTGATGCTTTCGATAGAACAAAGGTGGTTTGTCATGCCGGGCACTCGGAGATCATATCTGTTGCTCTAGAATCAAGATCGTAGCGCAGGGAAGAGAAAATACGTAAACGTTTCTTTGAAATATATTTTGGTCATAGTAAAACCTACGCAGAGACCTTGCCACTTGGGACTAACTTAGTTCACAGAGAAAAATTATTTCACTGTGCAATAAAGCTTGATCACCTGCAGAGTCAACCTGAAAAACAAATCTTGATATCTTTCAATAATATGCGAAATATGGGCCCTTATTACCTGAAAATTGCTCCACATGAGAAATTCTTTTGGCAGTTTAGTTGGATGAATCTTCTTCAATTCTCTTGGGGATGAGCTGCGTCCACTTGCGTGTGAAATGTTTCGGTGATGTGGTGCAGATTTTTGCCGCAGGAAAATCCTGTGTTTTCGTGCAGCAGCCTTAGAGTTCGCAGCAGCTACCTTACCGGAAGTGGTGCACGATGGTCGTTTCAGTTGTTGATCTTCTTGGAAGCTCATGATCATGCTAGACTGCATCAACTGGTTGGCAGTAGAAATAATGCCTGGTGAGGTTGAGCTATACGAGCCTGCAGGCATTTCCGTCATCCATGCCGGGACATGACCCAATTGATTCTCTGTAGGCTGCATTGACGACTCACATTCTACGTCTGTAGAACCGCAGTTAAAGTTCTGATTCCAATCATCCATCAATGAGCAGTCCGGCTGGGTCCATTCTTGTGTTTCATGAGGAAGCATTCCAACCTGTTGTTGATCAATTCCCCACAAACTTTGGCTTTCTAGTGTGTCTTTACATGTTAATAACTGCTCCAAAATCGGTGACACCGATTCATTACTGCAGTTGCCGATGGTATCTGCGGTTGGATCTGGTGTCAATTCCTTCCACATGTCAGTTTGCAAGAAGGGGTCAAAGTAATCACAATCTGCAGTTGTTCCAGTTGATGAGTCAGAGGTCGTGAACTCAGTATATGAGCGCACAGATGTAGGTAGATTGCTTGACTCTGGTTCGGGGCCGAACGAAAGGTATGCCTTGTCACCAAGTTTACCTCTACCGAAACCTCTCAAATCCTGAGGCCATGTAATGGCAATACTTTCTTCCATCTTCGAAAAATCTTTGTATACTTGTACTCTAATGGTCTTCAAACGATCACTGCGTATAATCGACCAGTGCAAAATCCAGCCACCTCCCAACCTCCTAGGGTTCCAAGGTATCCGTACTCATTGCTGCACCTGCAACGATTAGAAAGTGTCCAAGGTTTTAGTGCAGAATAATGGCCATGCCATCACGGTGATACTCCTCTTTGAATGACTGACAAGTTAGCAAAGCAATATAATGTTCTGGAGTTGATGGTTCCCAATTCTATCTAAACTCAAACATGAACTCCTCCCCTTCCGGTTACACAAATTCCTCCGCACACAAAAGTCAATGTATGCAGCATATTCTAAACATAACAAACATTGCAGTAATACAAAAACAGTCAGTCTCGAAGACTAACACTTGCTAGTGAAACTGGCATGAACACACACAAATGTGCTCCACACCAAGAGCACTCAAGGGACCATTGACCGAGAAACTGCGCCACCTCCACGTTACCAGCGTGCATAGTTTTTTGGCCCTATAAATGCATCAATACTAGGGACAGTTCTCGCAAACACCCAACGCAGAAGGCTGAGAGGATAGATTTTGACGGCCGATACAAACTGTCAGGAGACATTGCTCAAATTCTGAAATTGGAAGCCCTTCTCTGAGCTGTCCGAGGTTGTCGTGAAAAATTCAAGCAACTCAAGAGGCGACGAGATACCTCTACAACGTCCACGCAACTGGCACGTTTGGCCTTCCACCACGTCGAAGAGATTGTCACAAAGATCCCGTCACGATACAGACAACCCAAGCCCTGTTGTACATAAGACGCCGACAACCTGCGAACTGCCTTCACAAACACTCCACCTCCCTACTCGCTTTGGTTCTGTCCCAGCAAGTGACTTGCATGCCTTCAAAACTGAAGGCCACCAGCAGCTCGGCGTACTTCCAGTCCTCTCGAACCCAGGGGCTCAAGCATCAGCACTGTGAATAATATCCCATGCATAGCTGCACATGCATTTAACCACACTGGTGGCGCAATCTCAAGTGGCAAGTTTCTAACTCGGTCCTCAGGTGGAGTGCAGAGCTGAGCTAGTGACTCAGCACCCGAATAGGACTAGAAACTCGCGACTAGACACAAGAAAGATTCGGTATTCCATTGTCACTCAAATTACCCATCCGAGGCTCACTACTATGGAACGCAGCTCATAAAACCTGCCTGCAATTACTTCCGAGAATAGTAGCAATTGAGTTAATTGGTGCTTTCATGAATGATTCATCAACGGATCTACATGGTGCTCTCTGACGTCCAAGATCATTGTCTTTGCACTTCTATGCAGGGAGAGTCTGGACTTGTCCCCACAGGATCCCCACGTAGTGCCTATCCTGCCAGCATTGATCATTGTCTCCGGAATCGTGGTCCCCAGTAATATATAGATCTTCGGCGCACTAATTTGTATGTGTGTTTGTGTGATTGTGTGTGTTTCTGTCTCCCTCTCTGCAATGTAGGGATGGTCGAGTTCTGTTCGACGTTACCCTTCTTTGCCACTGCGTTCAAGCTCTTGTCGATTGTTTGTAGACATAAATACTGATATCATCTCAAAGAACTTGAAATGTAGAATGTTTTAAGATATAGCTTGAGTTTAGTATAAACTCTGTTCATTCTTCTTTGATGAATGGTTGCAAAGTGAATATGTTTTCAACATTCCAGAGCATCATCTTCTAACATTAGCCATACCCTCATTAAACTGTTTTTTTTGGAGTGGAAGTAGACTTTTTTACTACTTCCAATTCAGCATATTGTGATGTGCTTAAATAGTGTAATATCTGTAATTCTAAGTAACTTAAAACAATATCAACCACAAATATTTTTGTAAAAAGCATGTATAGCTTATTTTATAAAATCAAAGCAATACGATGAATACAAAGAATATTTGAAACCAAAGTTGTTTGAAATCAAAGTTGAATAGGCTTCTACACAACATCCAATGACTTGTGAAAAGGCCTAATATTTTCGTTACTAAACGGAGATACAGAATTGGCATTCTATTATTGTACATGGGCAACATCAGATAAGAAATAAATGATTTCTAATTTTAGTCACTATGCAACAAGTAATAAGAAGTGAACTCTTAACTAAGAATGCTACAATTCAAAAGCACTGCATCATAATGTTCCATTGCGGAAGGCAAGCCACTGCAGCTGGTGGATGCTTTAAAGGAAACGTCAGTATACTAAGAATGTAACATTTCGGCTACTCTAAGTGATCTTTGCGACGCTGTGTGGTGGAATCTGGAAGCCACCGATGTGAGCAGCTCCCTAAAACGATAATGAAATGAATAAGCTATTATTTTATGGTACAGTTAGGACCTAGCCCATCTGACATGCACTGTAAAAATGAGGCATCCTGCAAAGCGTCGGCAAAATAATCAGTGAGGTCTCACGATTGCCAGCGTTGCCACAACAGGATCTATTGACAGAAAGAAATCCGGACATGCATCATACTTGCAATGGGAGCAGCGTGACGTCCGTTCAGAAAACAGTTGGTTCCGAACACCTTTCTTAGTGCTAATATTTATACAACACACAGATATAAGCAACGTGATGAATTCTAGAAGATTACTGGTGTGCGACAGAAAGATTTTTCCCACAAACATGTGGCCTGATCTTCTTGGAAACACCAGGGTAAGAACATCTCCCGAAGGAAGATGCCTTGCATCGAATAATTAACTGCCGCACACGGTACACGTAATTGCATTATTTCCCCATCTGATCAAACATTTTGCAGCCCATCCTCGAGGTCGTCTATCAACTCAGCGCCAGTGCTGGGGCACATGAAGTACTCACTGCGAAGAGGTGTGTCATACTGGCTGTGGACGTAGTCGATGTTTTCGGGACGATCATTCCGAGGGGATGCTACAGAAGCATATGCGATGAACTGCCATGGAATTGGGTCGCCATTCTCGTTGGTGCTCTCTTTTACAACCTCCACCACCAGGTCTTTCCGCCTAGCTAGAACTCTCACCCCGTTTAGCTCCACTTGACAGGCTTGCACCCATAGCTGCTTCAGGCTATGGCAAGACGTAGCAAGAAATTCCATGCTTCTATCTCCGAACGGACAATGACGAAGCTCGAATCTGCGCAGATTCGTACACCCTTTGGCTATGGATTCAAGACCTGCATCACTGCTGCCGCAATTGGTGAGTGTGATGATGTGAAGGTTGCCACCATACTCTCCAATGTAGCGTATGCCTTCGTCGGTGATCACCACATTTGAGAGGCCAAATCTGCTGAAGCAGAGTGCCAGTCTTCGTGCCCTTCGACATCTCATCAGAAGTGCTCTAACTCCCAAGTTTAATGTAGAGTTCCCTTCTAACTCTATAACCTGCAAGGCCCCCATTTATGTGAGCAAATTAGTGAAAGGGTTCTAAAACGAAAGCATGTATTCCCGAAAACTAAATGACCAGAAAGAAATATCCAAAAAAATTGCATAAAAAAAAGTTCAGAGACGAACAGGATGGCTGGGATGGTATTTCTGAACAAGGCATATGCGAATATCACTCAGACCAGGGCAATTGTTTGCAAGAGTCTCTAATGCTGCATTGGTCATGTCTGCCGCATAAATAATGATCTTCTCCAGTAAAAAACAACCGTTTGCCACCGCCGTCAACCCATGTTGTGTAACAAAGCCCTGTGCGTCTTGTTGAACGACCAACCTTCTCAACTTTTGGCAGTGCGTTCCGATTACCCGCAGTCCTCTGTCACCAATCACATCCGTGCACTGATCACCACACACGCGCACACAAAGCGATTTTCAGCCTTTAAAATTCGAAGGACGCGCTACTACAGACCATCTCAATGCCTATTAAAAGAACTTATAAGGAAGAAGAAGCAGAAGTATGCCTGGAAGTCCTCCAAATTTATGCATGTGCGAAGTAGGTCACTGAGCTCAGGTTGTCCGAGGTTAGCATAGGTGAGGTCCAACGTAGTCAAGCGACCAGCAATAGGCATCACCATCATCATGGACCCTTCGTCCAGGTCCAGTGGAGCCGAAATACCTTCTAGTACTCTGCATCTCCCAAATGCCTCCGCAATCTGATGAGGGTTTTCGATGTTCTGTGAATAAAACCTGCACAGAAGCCATGAAACCCTGTCAATAGCCTCATTTTTAGAAACCCAAAACTTAGTTACAACACAGAATTCGACTTTTATCTGCTGCAAAAGAGTACTATCAATGGTTTGATGGAGTTGGCTTACCTGGTGCCCAAGTGGCGCATACTGTGGTTTGCAGCTTCCACAACAGGCAAGACGCGTTCAATCTCCAAAGCCGCACTTAACTTTAGGGTATGACACTGGCCAGCCAACTTCTCAAGCACAGACTGCTCCACATGCTCCACATCCGTGAGAGAAAGGTCCAACACTTGCAGCGACTTTGCTGTATTAACTAGGGTTGTTAACCAACTGCGGTGCCCGCCATTCTGAATCTCCGATTCCGAGATGTTCAGTTCAATAAGGTTCCGGCAGGCCCGGGCGATGATCTCCAAACCGAAAGTCGAAAATCCAGAGCACTTCTCCAGCTCCAACCTCTGCAAACCCTCCCCGCACCTACTCACCAAGAGCTGGATGTCGCTATCTGAAACTGTCATGCGCTTCATCCTCAGGTGCCGGATGGGCCTGTCAAAGTTCACTAGGATCTCCATCCATGGCGTGGCGTAAGCTCCCCATACCTCCGCATGGGGAATGAGAGCAAAATCCACAATACGGGGTTTCCCTTTGATAGTGATGGACCATGCGTTGGGAAACCGGTCCTTTAAAGTCAGCGGCTGAATTGCATAGCAGTTGGAGACAAGTACCACTCCGCGTGTGTGCCCCTCGAGGACTTTCAAGCTCTTGCAGACGAGGGATATGGCACTCCTGTCTGCCGTATCCGAGATTAAGTCAACAATCTTCTCGAGAATCTCGTCTGGACATTGAAGTAAACTACAGTGCTCACTCTCCACTGTCGACCTCCTTCTTCTCCCCAGATTAGCCATCTTAAAGCCTTTCCTCAACCACTATCTAGCAGCAGAACACAATACGACTGTCCACTGTCCACACTCCCAATTCCCGAATTTCCACTGTACCACCGTCATGACTCTGTCGCCGCCATCACCCCTTCTCCGAGCTCCTATGCGGACTAAAGCTCAAGTTTCTCTACGGCGCCAGCAGGAACTCCATGATCTGCCGTACAACCAAAACGGCCATCGCTACCTCTCATCCACCCAAGACAAAACCCTTTCAAAAAGCTCGCTGAAACTCAATCGCCTCGCCAAGAAGAAACCCCAGCCGCCGAGTTTTGTGTACAAGTCAGCCACTCAGCACTCAGCACAGAAAACCCAACCCTGCTTCGCTAAATCTGATGCACCCTAATCAAACACCACACCGAATGAATAAATTCAGACTCCCGTAATTTTGGACAAGAATGTCCTTCAGAAATGAGCTTGAACACCGATTCCCGACAGTAGACCCTACGTGCGCCCAGGAGGGACGCGTCATACAACGTGCGACTTCGTCCCATCTCTTCAAATACACCGAGAGTCTGGCCCACCGTGAAATCTACGGGCAGCTACGTCCATCTGCCGTCCTCACTTCATCAGATAAAAACTCAAGCAGATACGAACTTCATCGGATTCATCGAACTTGACATCTCACGGTACCATCTGCACAATAAAAGCCAAAAAAGGGAGTTGCATTCTCTCGATCATCGTCACGGCTAGATTCTTTCTAGACTTTTAAAAATCCTCTTTTTCACGAGGTTTGACACTTACATTAATTTCATTTTACATCAAAGAACCCTTCGTAACTTGGGGTTAGGGTTAGCTTGTGTTGTGAAGAATACTGACACCGAGAGATGGTTGACTACAAAGTCCTTGAACACGCACCAAAAGAATGTTCATAGTATGGCTCAGTCTGGTTGATCAGGAACGGCTGCCCTGGGAGTCGACAAAGACGAAGATCAAGAAGGATCAGGCAAAGCAGGAAACATAATGGAAGAATTCCAGCGTCAATGGTGTTCCAACGATTGGATTGCCGCTTGGGAATTGGAACGTCCTAATTGAAAACTAGTTTGTCCTAGGTTCCATTAGGTCTATCCTGTCCGGACCTGGCTGGGATGTATGAATTTATGTTTGTTAGCAGTAAAGTTTTTTGCTTTATTTGTGTCAAAAAATAAAAAATAAAACTGGTTGACTTAATTTTCAGAGTGAAAGAATTGAAAGAGATAAGCTATATTCGGGTAATGGCTTGGCATCAGACGAGGCACGTCGTCGTAAATTGATGTACAAGCAAGAAAAACACGACAGTTTTTGTAATAAAAAAGAATCCAGAGCTTCAATCTGAAAGCAAAACAGATAAATCCGTAATGATTGGAAACCATCGGGACCCAGGTAAGGAACACTCACAAGACGATAAGATTGAGCGAGAAAAATTAGGGCAGAAGAAAATTATGACGTTTAAATGCTGCCAGAAAAAGGCCACACGTGCTTGCGTCACGGTCAGGGCAGTGTCGGACCAGCATATCCCTAGCGATACGGATGAACGAACCATATTAAGGATAGAAACCGGAAAAGTGGGTGATTGTCCCTGACGATGAGGATGCAATCTCCAATAACCGCCTCATTGATTTCTTCTCGGAAGCCACAAGGTTTGTCAATTCCGGTTCAACCCAGCAGCTTAGGCATAATGGGTTCCCCTCAAATCGCGTTCTAGTCTTTGTGCAAGCTACAATCTAGTGAAGCTTCATTTGTGATTAAAGTGTTTGGCTATGGTGTCACTTTGTTGTGAAGGATTAGTCTGCAGGAGGTGGGGCGGCATGTCGCACAGAATGTGCGCTCGATGATCATTCCTGAGAAGGTGAGTCTGCTGTTCGGAACTTATGGTGGGTTTTGAATAAACTTGTTAGTACTCCAAAGCTGGCGTTCTAAATGTGTGTCGATTTCAGTGTTTTGCGTATATGGATGATTGGGAGAGTTGATTAAGAGTTTAGCTTTTGTGGGGGTGATGTAGAATGTGACAATCTTCATTTATGATCGTCCAGGAGATGAGGACGTGTTAATGCAAGCCACTCATATCATTTTCCTTTTGAGATTGGTCTTCCGGAGCCTTTCCAAGAGTTTTCGTCATGCTGTTGATCTCCATGGATGGTTTTGGTGTTTGGTTAGTTATTCAGTTAGTTAATTTTGTTGTTTGTTTTGTTTTTCCAATGATCATGAACTGAGACTATGGATATGCTCAGTGGTGGTACTTAAAGTAAGTGGAGGTGTCTGTTGTCCACGTTTTCATGAGTTTATTTTTACTGCGCCTTACTCATGAGTCAACATGAACATCTTGTGCTCGTCAACAATGGACAGCCTTTAATGTAAATGAATTCTAGTTCCAAGCGTATTACAGAAGTACAACTGCAGTATCTTGTGTCCCAGACACCACTAATGCAACGAAACTTTGCCCAAGTTTCTTGAGGGCCTGATACCTGATGAAGTGTTGACACAGCCTCTGCCTTACCACCGGGATGCAACTCACAATCGTGGGAGGCAATGGTCCGACTCTCATTGATCACATGGCATCAAGTGTAAGGTTGTGTAACACAAGTCTCGATGCCCCATCAGTTCACTGCTGCTTTTATCAAATGATGTTCTTCAGTAAAACTTGGATCTGAAAAAAAAATCAGTGAGGAAATCCTCAAAAAATCATCACTCCAATCTCCTTCAAAGAGTATCGGACATGACGATATGAAACATGCCGTGAATGCGTGTATAGGAAAAAAATTTACAAACATCAGTCTCGAGTATGCATTCACATTTGCTGTTGCTGGAGTTCCTACTTACACAGTGGAGGCAGAATATTAGCTTCTATGCACTAAACCATCAACTCAAGTCAAAATTATTTGCTAGCAATCAGGGCAGTGAGCTTCAGAAGGTAATCTTATCAACCTGTGAATGCACGGACAAACTTTAGGTTCCATTACCACTGAGGAAGTGATTGCGATGCGGCCAATCTTAATCACCATCTTGGTATCACTATTCTCATGAGATTATTTCCACGCCTTTCCCAAATCTATTCAACGCGTGTGATAGTCCGAGCATCTCGACTCTCTAAAAGCCAGTATCTGTAAATTTAAATTGAAACTGAGGATGTGAAGCATTATCCCTTGACATTGTTCCTTTCACAAGGAATTATTTTTTCTCTGGCGTTCACTCATTCCTGTGCTTGAATGGCAAGGTTGTGTCTCTATTCTCTGGTTCATCCAGAGAGGTTCCGAACTGTCAGATACGTAACTAAAGAAGATGGAAAATATTTCCAACGAACCTGAAACTGGAGGAAAAGAAGCGAGATCCTTTTTGTTCGAACACATCCAGAGTCTCATCGATCGCAACAAAGAAGCTCAGTAGACATGGAACTCTACGTCCTCTGTCACTGCAACGTGAAGAACAAACTTTGAAAGAGAACTCTTTCAAGTGAAACTTCGATCTTCCCACGACTAAAAGCGTCCATTGGAAAGGAAATCATGACCTCTTTTAGCTCGATTACTTCCAAAACAAAAACCTAAACCCATGTCCCGCTCTTTGGCATGATCATTTTGGACAGGCTCCGGCCTGCAGGAGCGGCGCCATGGCACACTGACTCCACCGTAAACGATCCTTGGAATCATATCAGACCTTCTCCAACTGCGCCGAATTCGTCAACACTGAAGTGCTCCCTCTGATCCTGTCGAACATGATAAATAGTGTGAAGTTTTTTCAAAAGATCTGCTTAGCATGGCCTAAAAAAAATGACTGATATACAATCTGTTCATTGCTAGATTCTACTTCACCATCAACCAACTCCAAGCTATAATTTCAAGTTCACTGTTAAAATCCACACGGTGTTGTTGAAGGTGTTGCAAGTTTATCTCGAAGACTCCAACACACATATACTCAGTCTCTCATGAATGCTGCCACTGCATCAGTCCACAATGCCTGTCCATAGCACCTACCCTCCGATTCAACACAAAACTACAACATTTTGAGCTGTAAGAAAGAAAAGCGAAGTGAACCTCCCTCTGATTGATTTGTCGATTTTTCAAGATGCAAAATATTGCGTCAATGAATGGTATCACTGCTTTAAAACTTGTTGATTGTATTGAGAAAGTGGTGCACTTAAGAGCTGCTCAATGCTTGCTGAAATTAGCATCCGATTCAAACACCATGGCACATAGCAGTCTGCTGCCGAGGACTTTTGTTATGAAATACAAGCAAGTGATGAGTTTCCAGATCAACTATTGAAGAGCCACCTATTGAATGTAGTGGTTCACAAACTTCAAGTGCAGAGGGTGTAGAGCATCCCGAAGGCCCAGCTTTGCAGGAATTACTTGACTCCCACATTGATTTTCCTGAAACACTATGTGAACAAAAGGATGCTCAGAATCATAGTAAATGTGCAGAAGTAGATGATGGACCCTTTGACACAGGGTTGCATGCATGCAAAGGTTTAATAAGTATCCACGCAAGAACTTCAGGATTTGTACCGTTTCAAAGAAATGGACGCCTATTAATTGAACTGCACCTATTCTGCCCACGGTCTCACGCTTACAGACCACTGATCTCAGAGATCCAACTGACCACAATCAGCAAGCTCAATTACCTTTGATTATGAATCAAGAGCTTGACACCACTCTGATCTCTTCTAGGGAAGCATGTACAGTTGAGGCTACCGAATGCAAGCAAGAAGATCTTGAGGAGGATACGTGTAAATATCCCTTAGACTACTCCTCAAGTGAAGACGTCGGTTCCCGGGGACACGAGGATGGCACACTGCTTCAACAGCAGGATTCTAAGTCACTTGTATCAGTTGCAGGTACGTGAGATGTATTGCTGTGCATCATTCTGGTAATGTCAATCGAGACTTCAACCAATTGTCCTTATTGTAAATGCTTAATATCGCGATAATTTATGAGTTGGAGATGGATTATTATGGATTTTTAAACCATGTTGGTTGCTCATTGCAGCTGCTAATGTGGCAACGTGTTGGCTGGAGCTTCTTAGTCTGGATGTCAAAGGACGTCTCGCTGGTTAGCACAAGTCCTACCTTGGTTTTACGCATGCTGTGTTGGTCATGACCCCGTACTTTTACAAAAAAATATCTTAATACCTGTCACTTTCAAGGTAACTCAATATTGTATTTCTGCGGTTATGTGCGCAAAGAGCTGCAATTGAATCTCAATTTTTGTAATGTCTAATTTTTCCTTCTCCGAAACAAATTGCAGAAAATCACCAAGGCTCTACTTTTGTTGACGCCGATACCTCTACAGAGCCAACTATATTTGCCTGTTACTGTGAAACTTATCAAATTTTATGTCAACCTCTCTGTGCACCGCCTGAGGTTCTATAATGATCACGGTGTGGTTTGAACTGCAGCACTTACGAACAACTAGTGGAATGTGTAACTGGACGGAGACTGGTACAATGCTGAGTTGGGGACGGCGGTACTCATCCAACCATATTCTTTTTGGTGGAAACCATCAGATTGTCATGGGAGGGCATAATGAGCCCACATATATTTTTTATATTAAAGCTATAAGTTATTAAGTTATTAATTACAGGGGAATGATAAAGCAACCCAATTTTTTCACTATAGCAACCCAATTTTTTTGCTAAAGCAACCCAATTTTTTTGCTAAAGCAACCCACTCTATCTTAAACATCATTGCACCTTTGGAGCCTCCATCCTTGTTCCAAGCCGTTCCCAACCGTTGTTAAGGATGGGGGTGGGGGGTTGGGAACTTTAAAAATAGGGGCAATGGTTGGGAACAAAGAGACAACAAGGAATGAGGGAATGGTGGCAAATGAGGCATGGGGGTCAATTTAGTAAAAATTTATGTCACTTTATCATTTCCCTATTAATATGTGTATGTATATATATATATATATATATATACACACAAAAAATCTATTTTTATTCTTTAAAATGATGTCAATTGAAAGATTATTTTTAAATTTTTTAAAAAATAATTTGAAGAAATATATTGACTTTGTAGCAAAGTAGTATAAATTTAAGTGATTTATGATCTTACATGATAAAAATAAGTAAAGGAAAATTTCTATTAAGGAATCATTGATTAGTTTAAAATCTTTTAGATATTTATTTTTCTATTTTTAATTTTTTTTCTTAGTAGATAAAATATACTTCTGATACAATAAAAATTTATATTTTATATATAAAAAAATATTATTTTTATATAATTTAAATAAAACTTTTAATTAAAAAATAATAATAAAAAAGGATATTCCTAATTAATCAAATAAATAAAAAATATTTTAAATCTTAATATATGAATAATTTTTCTAAAAAAACTTAATTTATTATTATTTACTTACATAAAAAATGTAAAAGAATAAAAGAATTTAAAGTAACCTCCACTAACCAATGTAGAATTTGAAATCAAAAATACTTTTGAATAGATGGAGGGGTTGTAATGATTCTTTATTTTATATAATATATTCTTAAAGAAATCTAATCAATCAACTAAAATAAATATATCAAGAATAGTTTCTAAGATAGATTATTTTATAAAAATATATTTATTTTTCAAACTAAATATATGTATTTGTATATATACATATATGTATTTGTATATATATACATATATGTATTTTAATGTAAAACCAATACCACAGTAATATAATTGACTTTAAAAAAAATTGTTATTATTATTATCATTATTTTAGACTAATTTTTTTTATCATTATCATAAAACAACTTCATTAAATGATGCTTTGAAAAATCAATAGGCATGACTTTTTAACTTGTGAGAATTTGTATAAAAGATGAAATGAAGAATATATATATATATATATATATATACTTTTTTATTATATCTAAACTTAAATCAAATTTCTTTGTTTAATTTTTATATGCAGTAAATCATACCATAAAAGTGATGATAATTTGATTATACAAAAGATATGTAAATATCACAAAGTTTTATATTAACATAATATCTAATAGGATAACAAAAGCATAATCACAAAATTATTTTATCAAAGACTAAATTTTATTATATCAGAGTTTTCAATTAAAATACATCCATTCAAAAAAAAATCAAAAAACCAAAACATTTTTTAAAGTACAATAAGTGATAGTAGTTTTAACACTACTTCTAATAGTGTTCCCTTTTTATACAAAAGCCACACAAACAAAATTCAAAAGATTGAGATACTTGAAGGTAATAGAGCAATATATTCTATCAAGTTAAAATAAATCATACATTTTAATTTGTGTAAACAAGTGAAGACCGTGTATATAGAAACAATTCAAGCTTTTTAAATTTAAATTGATATTTCATATTTTTTAGAATACTTGAAATTTTATTCCAAGAATTAAGAATTAATTCATAGGAAAATTTAAGAACTTTTAGG